TATGTAGAAGATAGTCTGTATTCAGTATATTTTGCCTGATTTCATAGGGCTAGCTGAATTTTTTAAGTATCTTTCCAAAATAATTTCACAGTATGAATTGAATAAATATTGGAAGAAGTGATTCTTCCCTTCAGCGCTACCTCAGATCATTTAGCAGAAATATCCTTTCATCTCCACAGGAGCTGGGACAGGGAGGCAGAGGGGCGAACCTAGGCCTTTATGGTCAGCATGGTAGTCACCGCTGCCCTAACTTCCCAAGGTGACCACTGCTGACGATGACTGAGATTTATGCTGTGCTGGATGGTCCCAGATTTGTTGCAGTTATTGTCTGCAGTTCAGGAGCTGCAGCCGTTTGTACTTTTTCAGAGTGAGGGGAACGGGGATTTACTGGCGGGAAAGGACTTGCTCCAGGCTGGAGAGCAAATGTTACCATTGCCTATCTTGCCCCTGTCCCCATCTGTCTGTTTTTACTCGCTAACTCTATTCCTGTCCCCTGCTGCAGGATGCAATCAGTTCCACGGCTGGAATTTGGCCAGGAGACTGGCTAACACTCCCACCCCATTTTTTATGCAAACTTGATTTATGACTTTGATCTTATTTTAAATAATTTAAAAATTAAATAATTTATACAGTATCGGTCACTTTCCAAGGCTTCTTCTTTTGTTCTTGCTTTGCTCTTCTGCATTTTCCCATCTCCCCAACCATTTTGAGTCTGTGCACGTTTCCTTTTCTGCATGGTGGGGCAGCAGTGACATGAGACAGCCACTAACTACTTGCCACTTTCTTCATAGAAAGAAGACCTGCATGAACTTTTGACACTGTTGCTTATTTGGGCCAGGACTATATGACCACCATTCATAGTCTGGTTTGATTTTTACGTCTCATGGCTTTGGGCTTGGCCATCCCACCACTTACCAGAGTCTAAGCCAGTGTGCTGTGCTGCTGTGGGCTGCAGCGTGTCCCTGCAGGTTTGTTTGGGAAGCAAATCAAAGGTGGTGCTGCCTAGTGTCAGCTTCCTCCTTTCCAGGATGAGTTCAGACCTATACCTTAAGCTGGCCTTAACTAAGGCTGTGGAACCAGCTACCAATACCCAGCGGCTGTGGATCCACAGTAACCTGACAACAAAAAGGGCTGGAGCCCTATACATGTGTGAACTACCATAAATAATTACCCCATAAAATGGGAACCTAAGTGAATATGGGAAGACATTGCTGAAAAGAAAAAGCCCCAAACAATCAAAAAACCCTGAAACAAATTAGTATAGGGGCTCTGGGAGCTTTGGGGAGCCATGAAACCTGACTTGCCTTGAGCTCCATACAAAAGAAGTGAGGTGGGTCTGATGTGACTTTCTGTGTCACTGAAACAGCACATAGAGTTAGTGCCAAGATTTGACAGGTCTGCTTGCAGGTGGCATATAAGGAAAGGAGGCAAAAAAGACACACAGAGGAGAACCTCCTTTGTTTCCTGACTTTTTTTGCCTCTGGAGCACAGGCCATGCGGCTGCTGCACCCAAGGACTAGCTGTTTAGCTGATGTGAGGCCATCGCTGCTATCAAGGTCAAAGTTGCTTAAGCTGAGGTTATGCAGCTTGGCAGTGGGCAGTGGCAGGGAGTGACCTGTGGTATGGCCATTTGCTGAGCTGCAAAGGAGGTATCTTAAAGAGGAGCTGGGGCGCAGAGGAGTCCTGGTAGCAACACTAATGACTATCAGTCAAACTCTGATGGACTGAGACCCTCACCGCCTCTCCCCAGTGGGGTTCTGCTTGGTTTGTAAATCCATGGCTGCCTACTAATTCCTCAAACAACTGCACCATGTGGGTTTCTGCTGCACTGGCCACCTTGATTCATGGAGACCTTTTTGCAGGAGCTAATGCAGTCCTGGTAATGTGCGTGATGCCTCTCTGGGGGAAATTCAGCAAGAAACTGCTGCCTAGGGGACTTGGCAACTTCCTCCATCGGGACAGACCATTAGAAACTGTTGATTAACCAGCTCTCATGGGATTGCTTGGGAATTCTTACACGGAGACATCAGTCAAGCTTGGACTGCAGTAGGATAGCTGGGAGAATGGGTTACAAGTACAAATCAGAGAGCCCATGTCTCATGTTAGTCCTGGCCTTACTACTAAGCACCGAGGCAGTTCTTAAGCTTGTGTTACCATCATGTGTCTGTGCGAAAACCCATTGAGAGACAGGACAAGAGAGTGCCGTGTCCCTGAGGGAGAAGGGAAAATACATAAATTTGATCATCAGCTTTATTTGTACACAGGGAAGTGAGACCAGGGGGTCAAAGGATTCACCCAAGGTCACACGAGTTGCTGGTGGCAGTGCCATCAGCTGTCACCACCGTCCTGCTTTTCTGTTTTCACTGGTTCACCTTCCCTCTTCTTGACTTGCCTTAGCTCTTCAACTTCAGTTTGGGCTGAATAAAACTGCTCTCCCCCGCCCCCCTTCCCCTCTCCCTCTATCGATCCCTCCATCTCCTGCTGGCATTTACGAGGTGCCAATCACCCTGATATCTAAGAGCCAGCGGTCCGAGGTGGATTAATCGGGACCGAGGGAACGTCACACAGCCTCAGCGCTCCCTTCCTTCCCTTTTGTGTGAAACTGTGAGATGAAGCAGATAGGGAGAGACACAGATCGGGAGGCTGATTGAGAGACAGCATCTGAGCACGCTCTGGGTGTACAGGCGCCACACGGAAATGTGATCCCATCATTTAGACAGCTCTGAAGTCCCCAGGGTAATTGGTGTCACCAGCTTGTCATATCCAATGGGTCAAGATCTAAAACTTATTCTTTCCCCCTTATTAGCATATTTACCAGCAAAAAAAAAGAGGGGATGGGTCCAATTCTGCTTTCACAGAAATCAACAGGAAAAATATTCATTGGTTTTAAGTGGAGCAAGAGCAGACCCAGGAACTGTTTTCACTCTGCCTTCAGCAACAAATCCTCACTCAAGCACCTACACTCATAATGTCCTGTATTATCTGGTGAGAAATAGACAGAGGGAATTTTTGTGGTGTAAAGACGCAGAATCTTTTACATCAGTATAAACCTAGGCTGGCAATAAGAAGACTTACTCTAGATCAAAAATGATGAGAGAAGAGTTTTTGGACGAAAGCATAAGGATACCCCACCTCTGCAGCCCTCTGATCAATGCCTGCAGCGTAACACTGGAGCCACATCTCCTGCCTGGCAGCCTCTGCAGATGTTTGTCCCCAGCTGCCCATGGGCTGCCTCCTGTTAATTCCTCTGGTACAAGGGGGCACAGACGCTGCATCCCCCTGCCAGGGTTCTGGCCACTGACCTGGGCTCAGCTGTGATTTACTGCCGCTTTTCCTCTTACTGCAGCCTTCCCTGGCCAGAGGGACAGTTAAACACAGCCGGGCCAGGGAGGGGACAGCTCTTCTATGATGTGAGGAGGGGAACAGGGGACAAAGGAAGAGGCAAAACTTGTCTTTGACTGGGAATAAAAATGGAGAGGGCAAAATGGAAGGAAAAATGGAACGTGTCTAGTGGGGAGAGAATAAAAAAAGTCCAGATTGGTGCCAGGGGTTGCAGCTTGGAGGAGTGGGGGAACTTCCGTGAAGCTCTACCGCACATCCTCGTGACTCTACATGGCTCACGCAAGGCTGGATTTTACCGAGTGATCAACGAGGCACATGACACTCAGTGGAGGACAGAAATTTCTTGGACATCAAGTTAAAAAAGGAACATGTGGCTGTGATGGGAAATCCGTGGTGCCTACGCATGAGAAGGCAACAGGCAGGGAAGAAAGCAGAGCCTAGCGGTCTGTGTGTTGGGGGGAGTAGGGGTATGCTGGAGCGTGATTTCTGAGCCCAACCTGTGCTACCCAAGGCAAGGCATTTGGTCTCTCTCATTCAGGAAGGTGTTACTCTTGAAAAGGGGATTAATGGTACTTCTCTCCTGTACACAGACCTAGCACAGAGTACAAGAAGGCCACATTTTACCACCAAATGGATGAAGCACCTAGACGCACTGTCACTGTCTGCAAATGTTCCTGTTTCACCTGTTCCAGAGAAGGTGGCCAAGTCACCTGGCAGTACTGTGTCTGCCTGCTGCAGGGATCTCCTCTACCTTCCTCTGAAATACCTGGCAGAGAGCAAGTTACCTGAACCTGATCTTGTCTTGCAGGTCCTTGTTAATTGTAGCCTAAAGGAGAGGTAGTTTTGCCAGAGGCATCTGTTTTGGGGCTTTGTCAGGAGCCCAGCTCCCTGCACAGTCACATTGTTTCAGGGGCCCAGGGTCTAGGTTTGGTTTGTTAGTATGACACCTGTAGTTGGACAGTGCAGCACTGCTTTAAATAGCTGACGTGTTTTCCCAGTGTGCTTAAATCACACTGTTTTGGGGAGCTGGGATTGTATTTGTGCATAAGTCTGCTTGTCCATTTTAGTATTATCTAGCATGCTTTCACAAATCTAAAAGCACTTCTGTCAACAGCTGCTGTTTTATCCTGTGGTCACTCCGAAGGTGCTCACCATGATGCCTGGTGCAGCAGGGGCCAGGCCAAATGGAGCAGGGAGTCAGCTCCCCCATTCAGCTCCGTCCGCAGGGCCTGGTAGCAGAGGAGTGCCAGAAAGGTATTTACGCCCTCACAAACCTTCGGCACCAGATGGTGCTGACATGGGACAGAGAACTAGGATAAGCTGAATTCAGGTCTGTTTTATCCAAATCCTCAAAGGCTAGTTGTGTTTGCATTTGACAACAGTGGCTTAGACCCATAGGAAGTGTCTTGCGTGGGTGCACACATGATGATGGTTTGGTTACTGCTAGAAATAGGTATTGCACCTCTGAGGCTTGCCTGAGAGATGCCCTCACCTACCCCTTGGCTTAGTTTCCTCCCATTCTGTAACTGATTTAATGGAGAAATCACTGTTTCCTCCTCTGCTCTTGTAATTTGTTCCTCTGCTCACTTGTGTTTTGTGTCATTCTAGGTGCTACCCCTCTTCCCATTAACATGCATAGAGCTACTGTCTATACTTACTGCCTGTGCATAGGCGCCATACGCTCCAAACTGGATGGCCATGGGGTTGAACATGCCCATTTGTCCCGCCATTTGCTGCATCCGTCTCATTGTACGCTCCTTGTCCGTATCTGCAAACTTCACCACCAGGCTTGAAGAAGCTCCCTGCAGGACAGGAAACAAAAGGAGACACATGAGGGAATCAGCCAGGTGCACACTGGCTCATGCAGTGCATACATCTAACACAGATTCGTTAGTATGAGGTCCAGCTGATGCTGATTTTTCCCATGCAACCTCTCAGGCCTTTTGAATTGGACCTTCGCAAGAGGCTGAGGGCATCAGGAAGGAAGGAAAGGACCCTGGAGGGTGAATGACTGAGGTCAGCAGCCCAGTTTCCTCCAAAATTCAAACTTCCAGGTTGTCATTAATGTTCTCTCTGCAAAAGTTGTTGCCTTATCCTTTCAACATATAGAAAACTTTCTGGCCCAGCAGGTTGTCGTCTTTGGAGGATAAAGATCTAGATTCAGTGCAGCAAATGTAGGAGCTTTTGCTGGATGAATTCTGTAGGATTTGTGAACTGATTTATTTTGATGGAATGCGTTAGTTCTCTGCATGCCAGTCCCCCAAACTGGATCACCCTTTCACACTGCCTTGTCTTGTAACCCCCATGTCCAGCAAGAAATCTGCGCCCAGCCTTCTAGACAAGATTCAGTGCTGAGCAGACTCTGTCTCATCATGAAGCAGCATGTCTTCAGCACTCTTAAACTAGGGGAGCAAAAATAGTACCTGATGGACCTGAGTTTCCTCTCTATGAACAGTAGGAAATAGCGGCTACCACAGAAGAGCCCACATTTCATGTTATGCTTTTCCAGGAAAGCTTTACAATGTTTGGGTTATGTCTGCAGTCAACAACAGTGCACAACTACAGATGATCATCAGAGCTGGCTGCAGAAGTCTATGAAAAATGTAGAGCTTTTGGGAATGAAAGAAATCCCTCTCCTCCCCAAAATGAGATGAAAGGCCGGTAACTGTGATTCTTAAATTTCTGATAGGAGGCAGTAATGGGAAGAAATAGATCTGTTTAGGAAGGAAGGTGCTGATATGTTTTTGGCTGGCTCCAAGGACGTCCTAACTTTGTGGGCTGGTGGATTCCCCACAGTGCGGTCCCCCCCGGGGAAGAGGGGTGCGTGGAGGGGGGATCGGCAGCATCCCCGGCAGCAGGCAGGCAGTTGCCTTGGGAGCTGGGCTGCCACTGAGGCTGGGGAGATGGGCAGGTGAGCTGTCAGGAGACTGACAAAGAGCGGCTGAAATCAGCACACTCCCCTGGTACGCTTCCCTTTTGACACTCTGGTATTCGCTGATGGAAATACAGTCAGCGGGGAAATTGCCAGCTCAGCCTCTGGCTGTGGCAGGAGGGGAAGGCCAGTTCTGTGCCAGAGGAGCTGGGCTGATGCAGGGCCCTCCTTTTTCTAGCAGAGGTGGGATTGCCTGGGATTGCACAGGGGCAGTGTTATTAACTGGCTTATACACTCCCCTACCTACCTGTAAACAGGAAAAAATAGTCTTGGTGAAAGCAGAGTTGCTCTGCTACAGATTGGGAATAGTGCAGTAAAGCACAACTATGGACGTACACATATGTAAGTCCAAGCTATGCATATTCAATAGCCTCTCCAGATCGTCAGCTATGAATAAAGACTTGAGGAATTAACGTGCTAAAATAAAAAAATGTAGAGCTACACAATGAGCGATGTACCCCTGGGTTAGCAGCCTGTTCTGGGAGGAAGTGATTTTCATAGGCAAATAATCTTTCTTTTTGACTTCTTAGTCTCTTTCTAATAAATCTATAACCCACTCAAACAATGTGGTGAAGAGCAAGGGGTTGAAAGTAGCGTTTCAGGAAAACAAAGGGATGGAGAGGTGAATGCTGGAGAACAGTCTTCAGGAGTTATTGTAAGAGCAAAATAGAAAGGGGGGGGGGTGCAGAAGAAAAAAAAATCTAGCCAAAATTCCCTTGCATTTCTGCTCAAGGCTGGGTGACTTTTCATTTTTTTAAATCACATGATGTAGTTATTGATCCTTCCCCAAATCACACTCTTAATTGCGGCTCATCGACAAATGAATATTTTAATGCATACATTTCCTGCTAATTATCACCTGGACCGGTCCTTAATTAGATTTCAACACTCATTTAATTAACCCTGATCCAAGAGACTGTTTGGTAGCCTGAATCTAATAATTTAAACTTATTTGCAGCTGTATTGGAGGGAGGCAGTGGTCCACAGCAGATTGGGCTGTTCAGAGCTGCTGTCGTGATTTGCAGAGCAGGGGCTGCAGCGTGGTGGGCACAATGCAGCATGGAGAATTTTGAAACTGAGTAAGGTGAATGAGTATTCATCTCTGCAAATGGGTTTTGAAGATGTGACCAGCTCTACTTAGCAGGACAGAGAAGTGTAAATAAGTTGGTGTCTTCTTCCTTCCCCTTTTCTTTCTGTCTCTATTTGCCCTGGAAGTCTTAGGGCCAGAGAACTGCCTCAGGAAATTGCTGATGCCTCACACTGTTGAAAATCAAGCTATTACTGCAGATGCCATCATGAAAACATGGGTAACCTCCACATGAGGTTCTTGCCCCTGGAGTGTTCTTCCCTCCTGATGTGAGTCGTAGTGACTGCACGGCAGCCGTTTGACCCAATGGGATCTGAGACTGCCTCTTATGAGATGATTTTCTGGGTTGCCTGTCGCAGCGGGACTTCGGGCCTCTTTGAACATCACTACAACATACACAGGGCAGAAAGGCCATTGGCAAATAGAAGCAAGTTAAAGCACACAGTACAAAGAAAGAGGAGAAAAAGGAGGGGATTTTTAACAGTGCTCTGCATTGAGATGTGCATGTAAGCGGTTAAAGATATGTAGCCGGTAGAGATGCTGCATTGCTCTCGAATATGAAGATTGACCTTGGGATTGATGCTTTCTGTATGTGGTTCCTCATGTGCAGCCCTTTCACGTGGCCCAAAGGAAATCAGGCAGCAAACTCTATCAGATCACACAGTGCAGGATTTTTAGCAGAGGAGCCAAACAGTGTTGTTCATCTACAGCAGCACAAGACTACTTTCTATTACAGCGACTCCTACTAATCCACTGGATAACATTAGAAATGCCCCAGAGTGGGCCAGATTTTCCATGGGGTAAAAACTGCAGAGCCCTTCAACTGGACTATTTATTGCTTCCACAAGCAGTTAAACCATGGTGTAAATCAGCCGTTGTCTGCTGACAAAGGCAATAGGTCCTGTCTGCTCAGTCATTTATTAGTAATACATAATCTCCCTCTTGCTCTCTCCGGTTGTTGGACTGGACCTTGTATTTTGCCAGCCCCCAGGAGAGTTACAGTGGGTAAGTCAATAATGTTTGAAATGTAGTTTGAGATCTGTGTGTTAATTCTGCATTTTACCAAGGGAAGGACCTGTTTATTTCTCTATCCTGCAGATCCACAGTCTGGAGAGACTTTCATGAAAGTGAGCATTCCTGCTGGTGCCTCTGCAATAGGCTACTTGGAATTGGCATTTATCTCCTTTGCCATCAAATCAATCCCCTTTTTCAAGGGCTTTGATATCTACTGATGAAAAGAATAATATAAGGGCTAAGTATTATTATGCTTTCCTTACTCTCTCTTGGGCCAGCAAGTCTACTTAATATGACGATCTTGCTTCCTGTCCCCTTCCCGTGCACAGTAATGAATTGGTCCCCTTAGTCAGCAGAGTCAGATGCTCTCTAGGCTGGCGGGGCGAGGGAAAAGATGGAGGAAAAATCACTCTGCGCCACACTCGCTTTGTAATCCCTAATCAGAGTCCTCTGTGGAAAAACTAATTTCCCAGCCTGTCTTGATGTGTGAAATAAAGTCATTCTTGAAAACGGGAGCTTGACAGGTCACTTGTGAAATTTCATATTCAACTAATAATAAAATATCCATCCATTGATATTTCATTTAAAGGCAAAGGAAAACAAATCTTTTCCCTCGTTTTTAGGACTGTTTCCCATTAGTTATGGCCTTCCAAATGGAGCATATACACAAATTAAGCAAAAACTTTTCAGGACACAAGTAATACTGCATGGCATCAGGGAAAGTTGCTTCTACCTAGAACAATATTCATAGGAAAAGTTTTGTGAAGATGTTTCCTTGAAGAATATATGCCTGAATTTTCTTTTTCTGTCAGCCCTATAGGTCTCCTCTGACTCAGTAGTTTACCAGTCTCTACAGATGGTTAAACATCTTTTTCTTGCAAAACTGATGAATTTGGGCCTAATACACCAAAGCCATTAAATGATGTTTGACTTTAAGCCTAGTGAATGTCTTGTTCAATGTAAGCATACATTTAAGTACTTTGCTGCAAGGGTGTCTCTCTCACACAGGTGGACTTTTATATCTTGGTTAGCTCAAATGTAGCCAGTTAAGAGTTCTGGGCCAAAAATATTTAAAAAAGGCTTGTTACATTAAAATTCCAGTGACTAAAGCTCTTGAGTATAGGAGATCTGAATATGCAGATCCTATTAAGTACCTTCCAAAATGTCAGTCATGCACACCAGCTAAGATGCTTAAATGAATAGGTGCTGCTGGATACCTCTCATTTGGGCAATCAGACTACCTTCCTAAGTGCCACCACGTGAACAGGGCTGCTTGTGAAGTTTTGACTTAGTGCTCCCTTTGCATCTGCAAAGCAGAGCTGGGAGGATGCTGACCTTCAGTAAGCCATTCAGGGTAGTATTTCCATGCAAGGATCCTTGATGTTAGGGTCTGAAAGCCAAAAGAGGAGTCCTTTGCTTTGGCCTCTGTCAGATCAGGCCATTTGGTATGATGTCTCCTCAGTTTGAAAACAAAACCAGATTTGTTTTGAAAATGTCTGTGTAGCTCTACTGAAAATAGAGCTGCTGAATTAGCCAGTGGGGGCTTGACCCCAGCCTGGGATTTTAGACAAGAATAAAAGAAACTACTGTCCAATTAAAACTGTAGAGCAGAGGGAATTTTAGCTAGGTAGAAATGTAATTATCCATGTTGGAAGATGGCCAGAAGACCAGGACTAACATCCCTCCCCTCTTGTGAAATATGCTATGTTTTTCTGTACTCAGGGCTTCAATTTCATGTCTCATCTGAAAGATGAGTAGGACGGCAGTCA